GTTGGGATCTTCCTGTAGGCTCTGTCTGCAGGGCCAACACTTCCAGGGATGGGGGAGCCACAGCTTCTCTGGGCTTACCACCCTCACAGGGAACATTTTTTTCCTAATATCTAATCCAAGCCTACTCTCTTTCAGARTGAAGCCATCCCCCCTTGTCCTGTCACTTCCCACGGCTCCTCGCTTGCACCTCTCTCTCTCTCTCTGGTCGCTGTTTTGCAATGACTAATTTTGCTTTCTTCTTTTCCTTTTCAGTTGCCAGGGAGGAAAAGGCAAAGTCACTGCCCAGCACCATTTCCTTCGAGCTAAAGATGTTGAGACAAAGCACCTCTGCCCCTGCCCTGTCCTTTCAGTCCTTCCGCTGCTGCTGTGTTTGGGACTCATTCCCCTGCCACTCCTACTCCCTAAGAGCACGGGGGCAATAAACCTTTTACTCAAGTAGATGCTGTGTCATTCTCCTTGATTCCTCTTTATTCTTTTCTTTGTGAGAGCTTGCTTGTAGCTGAAGTTCAACCCAAGCAGAGATCTGGGTATGAGCTTGGATTTGAGGCTCTCCTTGGAGTTTGGGGGTGTTTGGATGTGYGGTTTGGGGTTGCAGTGCTGGGGTCACACTGCCTTTGTGTGGCTTTGCTGTCAGGCTGGGGCAGTACCCAGGCACGTGGAGCAATGGATAGGGTTGGAATAACAGAGTTTTATTTGCTCAGTGATTGTTTATGGCTGTGGGCAGGACTCTGGAATGTTGGCTGTTCCTGGGAGCCAGGGCTCCTCTCAGGATGCACATGGCATTTGTGGTTCCTCACGGGATGGCTGCTGGCACGGGACACCTGCAGCTCCTGCTGGCTGGGGATTTATTGGTGTGGCTGCAGATGGCAGCTCCATCCAGGCTGTCCTGCACTGGCACAATTCTGGGCTGTGTTGGTGAGAGCCTCTGTGACGCTGTTGGCTGTAACACTGAGCTGATGTGGTTCCTGAAGCTGTGCAGACCCACAGAACCATGCTCAGACACTGCTTTCATTAATTAGTGCTGAAAGCATGTCCTTGTCTTGTYAGCCCTGGGAAAGCCTTGTCTGGGTGCAAACAGGAGCCAGAGGAAGACTTTTCCTCATTCCTGTCCTTTGGCTGAGCACCTGGAGTGTGGGACAGCACGAGGATTTTCCAGGCAGGAGTGGAGCCCATGTGGGAGCTGTGGTCTCTCCTGGATGGTGTTTGCCCTTCCAGCAGCTCRGGAGGATCCTGTGGAGCTGSAGGAGCTGACTGCAGGCTCAGGGTGAGGTGACAGGSCTGCAGGATTTCTCCTCCCAGGGCTCTTTCCCCTCAAGGGAGTCCCAGGGATGATCCTGACACGCCTGCCTCCGTGGAAATTCAGTCCTTGGAAAGTCATGTGCCCTGACTCRTGATCCYCTTKGCTCAGGACTAGCCCACCRGGCATTTTCAGAGTGTAARAGCCYCTCCTCTGGCYCTGAATGGCTTCTTYYACATTTTTTGGAGGTTTTYRCCCCYTAAATAAATTMARTGTTCTCTAATGACACAGAATAGTKCTCAAGCAAGGGGAACAAGGTGCCCAGAGCTGAGCCCAATCAGCCCTGATGCAGAAGGCAAATTATTGCTTGAGTGAGGAAATAAACCCAGACTCAGCTACATGCAAATGATAGGCTTCATGGATTTTTTCCAAATTCGTTACACAATAAATCAACAAATTGAAGATGTACTCCCTGGCATGGTCCAAAGCCCTGAGGGTGAGACAGGCTGTGCCATGAGGAGATTCGGTGTAGTCCCAAATCAATTCTAAGAAGTGGAAGGATGGGGAGAGAGAGGAAGTTTTTAGTTTGTGTGAATATTGCTATGTTATGCTCGCAGAAAGCCTTAAACCCCAAAATTTCCAATTACAGCCACCAGTTTTGGTTATTTCCCCAAATTYTTTGTGCTTCCCTGTAGGGTTTGGSAGGGGATGAYCAGYTGTGGTGTGCCTGGTCCCAACMGTAGTCTGCATGGAGAAATCAAGATTTCTTGCGCCTCATGAAACAAGTTTCTGTTTCACTGATGAGAGTGAGAGGGAGGTGAAGCCCTAGAATCGTGCTCAGAGTTTGGCCTGGAGGGATTAATTTTGGTTCTTCAGACATCTAAACTGCTTTGAATAAACTCCAGAAATCACTCCAGAAGTGAGTCCTTGCTCAGCTGTTTTCCTCAAGCACAGCACAGGGGATGGAGCTGGGTTGGGGTGGAGAGTGAGGTCCCTGGTCGGTCATGGCTTCTTTATTTGGGACTTGGAGCACATTAAAATTCTTTTGTGCTCCTTACTTTGTGCCTTACAAAATTCCCCAGAGTTTACCTTTCAAGCCCGTGGATGGGAGTTGGATCATTTGGATTATTTTTTTTTCCCAAGCCCAGCACTCCATGGCTGTGATACTGTGAGGAAAGCAACTCTAGGGGAACCTCTTCCCATCTCTTCCACTGCAAAGATCACTCGAGGCTTCTGCTTGGTCTGTGGTTTGAACCATGGAAAAAGCAGGATTTGCTAAAATTTGGGGGTTTCTGTGCTCTAGAACTTGTGGTGGGCTCTTCACACAGCTCAGGAGATTGTGTCAGTCCCAGTGGCCACAGCTTGAGTCTAAACTTAACCTTGACATCATGATGGAGGTAGTTCCTTTATCTGATTGGAGGAAATACATTTCTTAGAGTAATTAATGGTCCCTGAAGAGTACCTTTTTGTTATCATGTGTGTGTGTGTGGAAGCGTCCAGTCTATAAATACACCGTGGTTTCCTCCTCAGCATCAGCAGGGCCATCCTGGCCCTGCAGGTTGTGTCCCATGGCACTTGTTTGCATGGAGAGGATGTGGCAGGGCAGCACCGTGCGTCAGGAGTGCTGTGAGGCAGGATGGGGAGCCACAGATCACGTTTCACTGCAAAGTTTCCCTTTTTATTGCAGTTTCTCCTTGGGGATGGTTCCAAAACCCAGCCAAAATTAGCTGATACCTGCAAAGGCACCTCGGCCCTGATGTTGGGGGGTGGTGGCTGCCAGTTTGGCAGCAGTTTGCTGTGTTCCTGTTATTAGGGCTGTGTTAATTGCAGGGGATGCAGGAGCAGGGAGAGGGAGGTGTGATGGTGTGATGGTGTGAGCTGCATCCCTGCTCCTGCCTGGCTGTGCAGCCGAGACTGCTGCTGCTGCAGCATTCACCATCACCTCAGGGAAGGGTAAATATGGCTGAGGAGATCTCACCTGGCAAAGGAGGAGATGTGTTTAGCTGCTTTCAGGCTGCTCTGAAGATTTTTTTGATGYTTGTGCCGATGGTGGTTGTGGTGTCCTCCCAGCACAGGGAGTGTGGCACTGCTGTCCCTGTGTTGGGGACAGCTCAGATTGTGACAGTCAGGAAGGACAGAATGACAGAATGCTGTGCTTTGGGATGCACCTTAAAGCCCATCTCATTCCACCCCCTGCCATGGACACCTTTCACCATCYCAGGCTGCTCCCAGCCCCAATGTCCAGCCAGGGATCCAGGGGCAGCCACAGCTTCTCYGGGCACCCTGTGCCAGGGCTGCCCACCCTACAGGGAACAATTCCTKCYCAAAATCCCATCCATCCCTGCTCACAAACTATGTGTCATTCTGACAGCCTGAAATGTGTACTTTTCYATTTGACAATTTTCATTTGGTCCCTGGGCTGCCCAGAGGTTTATGATGGAGTTACCAGTAAATATAAATTATAAACCCACCAATATCTCACAGAAAGCTGGAGACTGTACCAGGCACCCTTGAGAACAGTAAATCTTTGGAAAATGTATTGATTCCCAATCTTGGCTTTGCACTCTGGATGAACTTTGTCCTCATAAAATAATAGAAGGTGATTTTTCTTTACCAGCCAGCTGGCCTTTAAATGAGCTACTCTGAACACCACAGCAAGCTCTAATCCCAGTAAACACAGGATGGTTTAGGAGCTGGGAAGAGCAGCCCTATCAGATCAGAATAAGGGTTAATACTCAGTGGAATATTCTCATCTGTGGTCCTTAAAAATCACAATTGGCTTTGGCTGGATGGCACAAGATCAGTGTTTTATTCTCTYTGGGCTGTGTGAATGCTGGGTTTGGTTGTTTGCATTAACTGCAAAGCAGCAAAATGGCGAAACAGGATTAGGGGAGTGATTTGGGGAAAACGCTGATTTTGGTAATCAGATTTGATTTGCAATCTGTCTGCTTTACAAGGAAATAAGTCTGCTGGGGAGGATGCCAGGAGCTGAGGCAGGGCTCATGGTCAGGGCTGGGCAGTGTGTATGATCCTGGCTTAAAGTTTGTGCTTTAAGAGCCTCCTTATTGTCCATCTTTCAGCTTTTCCTACCTTAAACTGCCTAAAATTAGGCAAGGATCAGGAGGCATGGTGTGGCCTTTGGGATTTCAGGGCAAGGAGCTGTCTCTCCTTCCTTGCAGGCAGCTCTTTGCCTTGGGTTTTTTTTTTTTTTTTTTTTTTTTTTTTTTTTTTTTTTCCTTAAAGGGCTCTTCATAGATTGGGAATCATGGAGTAACTAGGGTGGGATGGGGGCATCCAGGGGATTTCACAGCCTTAATGATGCTGGAGAGGCTTTTTCTGCTGGACATCTGCTCCCAGCTGCTCTGGTGGCAAGGGCTTCTGTGAGATCGACCCTGGAGCTTTAAATTAGCTCTTCTTCCAATGTCTTGGTACCTTCAGTACAGGGGATGGGAGTCCCCTTTCCAAATGGAGAATTCAGAGGGAATTTTGTTCATTTGACTGGAATACTTGTGTCCCTCCAGATCACCTTGAGTGCTTTGTGTGCTTGCACAGCTCCTGTGAGTGCTCTGTGATGTGAAACACCTCTGTGCTGATGGGGAGCAGAGGGACACCAACAGTGCTTGAGATCCTGAAATAAACTCTCCTCTCGAGCAGCCACCATCAGGGTGGTTTTTGGGTTTTTTTGAGCAGTGTTTGCCCCTTGCCCAGGGCATCCACCCTCCAGGCAAGTCCCCTAAAGCTGTTYCTCTGTTTCTCTGTGCAGTTTCCACACTCTGAGGCTGCCCCTGCACATCCCCCGAGGAGCTGGCGGGGCCCAGCCTTTCCTGGGGGAACATGGACTGAAAAAAGGAGCTTTGCCAGCCCCCAGCTGCCAGCACCCTTTGCCTGGACCCTGATGGACTCGGAGGCAGGACTGCATTACCATGGTGATGATCTTAACCAAAACTCGGGAAAACAAAGGTGCTGACTCCGTAACACGCAGGACTGAGCTGGTAAGCTTTGTGAAATCTCTGTTCCAAACTGTTTCACTGCCAAGAACTTTGCTGCAGATTTATTAAARGGGTTTTCTGTCCTGCAGGGATGGATCTTTAGATGGTTTGTAGCGTTGCTTTCTACCCAGCTGCATTAATATCCAAGGAGCAGGTGGTTAGTAAAGGATTTGAGTGCTGTGGCTTTTGTGTGTGTGGATTTCAGTCAGCGTCCAGTGGGATAAATTGTACAAAAAAAACCAAATCAGTGCTGTGAAAAACACAGGTRAGAAGTTGCTTCACCAACAGCGAACAGATGCTCATCATTAACAGGAGGATGAGCAAGAGGGAAGCAGGATTAAGTGGGAGATGGTGAAGGGCAGGGCTGTGGGATTTAATTTCCCTGGGAGCACAGAGAGGTGCAAATCCAACCACACTGAATGAGCAGGGAACAACAAAAAGAATAAAAAAGAAAGAGAGGCAGCAAGCAGAATAAAGGATGGTGTGAGGGGTGAGTGTAACTGTGGTAGGGGCAAATAAGGGGCAGCATTGTGTGGAGGTGTGGTCAGAGCAAATGAGGAAGAGCTGCAAGGTGATGAGGAGCTGTCTGTGAAAGGCCAGAGCAATTCTGGTTGGGGACATTTGTCCCTCTGTCCCCCTGGAGTGATGGTCACGGTCTGAGAAGAAGCTCCACCGAAGGGCAGGGCACWCTGAGAGTCTCAGATAAGGGTGTCAGGAGCACGGCAGGAAGCAGCTGGCAGGATTCACCATAAATGGGCATTCTGAACATAAAAGAAATAGAAATGCCTGAGTTTGCTGGGGAAACTGCCTGCTGGGCTCTCCAACAGTGAGCACAGAGTGCTGGGGGGAAGGCAGGCTGTGAACGGCACARGAGAAGGTGAGCAGTGCTAAAATCTGCCTTGAAAGGGTGAAATTTGGGAAGGATATCGATACATTTAAAGGATATCCTTGCTATAGCTCCTGCTGGGAAGTCAGAGAGGGGACCTGGACATCTGTGCCAGCAGTTCCCTGGGAGCTGTGTGGGGCAGGGGAAGGGACAGTGGCTGCAGAGGGGCAGAGGAGAGCAGTTTGTCCTGCCCCTAAGAGAAGGGCTGGGTGCTGGGGATGGGTGATGGCAGTGCCAGGGATGCAGAGCTGTGATACAAAACTGCCCTTGGTGTTTGCTGAGTGCTTCCTGCAGCTCTGGGCTGGGTCAGGAGTGTAGGGACAGGAATGTAGGGACAGGAGTGCAGGGACAGCTCTGGGCTGGGACAGGAGTGCAGGGACAGCTCTGGGTGGGACAGGAGGGCAGGGACAGCTTTGGGCTGGGACAGGAGTGTAGAGACAGCTCTGTGTACTCAGGGGGAGTTGCTGGGTTGCCCAAGCTGCCAAACCAGGGCAGACAATCACAACAAGGCTGATCCAGAAAAGAAAGCAAGAGCCTTTCTGTTGTCTTCACGGGGAAGGCCAGAAAGYGAAACCTAAAGGAAATGAATGTCTGAGCAATGGGGCAGGGTCACCTGCCAACAGCCAATGGGCTCATTTGGTTCACTTCTCAGCTTGGTATAAAGACAAAATTCCTAGAAAATGTTGATTATATTCAATATGGGACATATTCAGGCTCCTCTCCCTCCTGCATTCACAGTGTTTGCTCTGTGGGGCTGGCATTCAGATGTGCACTGGCACACCCCTGCATTCTCTGGTCCCTCTTCCATCTTTCCTCCACTTTGGCTGTTCCTCAGAGACAGCAGCCCATCCTCTCTGCCTTCTGATTAATTCTACTGATGCATCACAAGGTGGGGCTTCACAGGGGTAGAGATATCCTTTCTTCACCTGGAAAACTGGCACAGGCTCCAATGGTGGCTGACCCTTCTTTACCTTCTCCACATCTACACCCCAGGGTTGCTTCCCTATGCTTCCATATTCAATATTTCCAGCTTTCTAAATATGAAGTGGGATCCTTTATTATTATTATTATTATTGTTGTTCTCATTATTCACTGGAGAAGCTGTGGCTGCCCCTGGATCCCTGGAAATGTCCAAGGCCAGGCTGGACAGGGCTTGGAGCACCCTGGGACAGTGGAAGGTGTCCCTGCCCAGGCTTTAAGGTCCTTTCCAACCCAAACCATTCTGGGATTCCATAGCTGTGTGAGCAGGGAACATGTAAAACAGGGATCAGGAGGGAACGTGTGAATGCAGGGGCCCAGGGCCAGATAAAACACAATTATGGCAGKGCAGATGAACGTGGGGGCCGTGCTGGTGCTTCCCTCAGATGATGGAAAGCCTCAGTCAGATGGGATGGCTTTGCCAGGATAGACACTTCAGAAGCCAGAATGTGGATATTTTTAGGGGTAATAAAGGAACAATTAGTACGAAAGTGTGTTTTTGCAGGCATAGCTGAAATGGCATGCAGCTGTGGGTAACATATTGATTTATTATATGTGAGCCCATCCATGCTCATTTTTAGAAGGGTGATGGTGTCTCTTATGCTGTCAAGAGGAAAATTCTTGGGAGAAAAAGAGTGTAAAAGGCAAGCAGGATTATTCCATACCCACACAGTGGCCTTTYCCCCTATTTTTAGTGCAAATCAGCACAATCCAAGTGCAGACTCCCCAGAAGTGCTGAGGTGAGGACGCCTTGCCTTCAAAACACATTATATCCTTAAAAAASCTAAATAGCTGCTTTGTACCTAGACAGGGGAGGCCTTAATGGGCTTGGATGGGGTTCAAGACACCACTTCTGCTGCTTTCTTGCCYGATCCAGGATTAACTCTGAATTGCAGCTTCCAGCTTAAGTTCTCCACAGTTTTGGGTCCCAGGGATGGAGACCTGGCTGCAGCTCTGGGTGAGGACTGGCTGCAGCAGCCTTTGATTTGCAAGCTCAGGCCTTGACAAGGACTCTGCACCAAGTGTAATTAAAGTTGATTTCACTGAGGAAATGTGACTGGGTCTGTCCCCCGGTCCCTGATCTCCTCCTCGGGGCCGTGTGGCTTCACCCAGGCTGGAGGCAGGGTGGTGGCTGGTGCCCAGGGCGAATCTGCCAGAAGTGAATAGTTTTTCTGGTTGTTTGCAGCACACTCCAAAGATGAGTCAAGGACCTACCCTCTTCTCTTGTGGCGTGATGGGTAAGTAACAGAAATTCTCCGTGTTCCCTCTGCTCCCTCGTGGCCATGGGTGGGGAGCTGTCCTGGCTCTTGGATGTCTCCAAAGCCACTGCCCTGCAGATTTTGGGGTGGGTTCCCCCATAGCAGGGATGGAGGGACACCACCACACCACACCAGTTCCACTCTCCTCCCCAGAGGTGATTGCTGTGCCCTGTTGCCATTGCTGAGTGAATTTTTTATCTTTTCCCCTCCCTTTTGATGCATCTGCTTATTTTTAGAGTTACAGCTGAGATTATAAATCTTTGGGGTCTGAGGCTGTCTGACTGGTGGCTCTCAACTGTTTGCATGATACAAGCAATAAATAACAGTATTACCACCAAGATGTTCCACCACTGGCACAGAGTGGTTGGGCAGACCTCAAACAACTAAGAAAATGTCTAATTTTTGCCGTTGACAGTAACCATGATACAAGATGCTTGATACCTTTTATGTCAGAGCTTGCCATCAGTTTTTATGTCAGAGCAGTCATAGAAATGATGGAGGATTGGTGCCTGGATGATCCTGATGGAGTGATAGTGCCAGGGGATGAGCTCTTGTGCTGCTCTCTTTGGCACACACAGTGGGGAGATGCTCGCTGGGCGAGGCCCCCAAACCCAATTAAAATTGTAGGTCAGGCTTGAGCCAAGCTCCTTGCTGTGAAAGCCAATCCTCTGCAGACAAAGAGGCTGCCCCTTTCCTCATGAACACAGCTCTCATTAGCGTTAATGAGRGCTGGGCACATGCACTGGCAGGAGATGTCCCCCCAAGCTCTGATAGCTCCAGTCATGGCGAGTGCRGGGAGATGGAGAGCATTTGTGGGTTCTTTCAGATGAAAACCACAAGCTTCCAAGTCAAGAATGGATAAAGCCCGTTCCCTTTCTCCTTTCAAACAGGAGCAGGGAACAAAGAGCTCAGATCAGATGGTTTTGTCTCACACCGTGGCACTGGCGGGCTCTCAGCAGATCCGCAGTCTCTGCCTCGTTGAGAAGCATCTTTGCTTTGAGAGCTTCTACAAAGCCTCCTGCCTTTCCAGTGCTGCTGTGCTGCTTCTCATGGCTGCCAAGTTATCCTCCTTCTGAGGAAATTGAGTGTCACCTCCTTGACCTCAGCTTGCCCTGTGGTGGTCTCTGTCCACCCAGTGCAGAGGAGCCCATCCCTCACTCSTGTGAGGACATCACTTGGCTTGGCTTCCATTTTAGGCATCTTCCCCAAGTGTGGGCCATGATCACAGGCTTATCCAGTACCAAAACTTGCTTTAAATCTTTTTAAATAAGTTATTATTGAAATGCAAAACTGGGAGAACATTTTAGGTCAAAGGGCCAAGTCAGTGGAAAGCACTGAGATAAATAAAAGCAGTGAAGGTTGGGTTGATAGCACAGTCAGCGTGAGGCAAAGATCCACAGTATGCTGGAGTTTTGGAGCAAAATTGGCTGATTTTTTTCTGGGGTTTTAAACAAAAGAGAATCTTAGAAAAGGGTCATCCTGGTGCCTTTGGGGCAAGGGCAGCTTTGGGCAGGAAGGCAGCTTGTTTCTGGATGCAGCAGGGGAGAGGGAAGCCCAGCCTCTGTTGGTAACAGCATCATCCAAACCCTGGAGCTTTCCCCTAAACACTGCAAGAAWCTGAAAATGTATTACAGATTGTATCCAAAATCAGTATATTGAGTAAACATTATTAAAGACTCAGTGTATTGGATGATGCACAGTTGGGTCCAATTCTCAAGGTGACCTAAGTAATCTTTTGGGTTTTACATTTGTAAGAAATATTCCTGCCAGTGAGATGATAAYATTACTAAAAAGATTGGGTTTTATCTTTATATAGCCCTTTGCCWGGAGGAAGATTAAAGGTGAAATGCCTAAAACTATAAATTCAACAACTTCTGTTTTCTCTTCTCCTTGATGGGTCCTTGAAACACCCAGGAGTGTAAGAATTGTCCTGTTGATGGATACTTGGGGTTTTKCTTCTCTTTTTTTTTYCCCTTTTCCTTCCTCAGCAGTCTCCATGGCAGGAACCTAATGAAAATATCAGTGTCTGTGCTAGAAGAAGGTGGCATTAGAAAGTTGGGGCATTAGGGTGGTGAGGGCCTGGCACGGGCTGCCCAGAGCAGCTGTGGGTGCYCCATYCCTGGAAATGTTCAAGATCATGTGGAGCACCCTGGATTAGTGRAAGCTGTCCCTGCCTGGGTCTTTTGCTGTCCACCCAAAGATGGAAAAATTTCAAAAATATAGGGAGTCAAAAGTAATAGAATGCCAGAATGGTTTGGGCTGGAAGGGACATTAAATCCCATCCAGTGCCATGGCAGGGACACCTTTCAYTATCCCAGGGTGCTCCAAGCCCCATCCAACCTGACCTGGTAAGAGAAGCTCTGTGGGCGTGTGCTGAGAGCTGTGACCTCCTGTTTTCTGTGTAAGCAAGAAATTATCTCTGAGGGAAGCTGCAGGCAGGRCTTTATTGAGGCTGTGACAAGGTGCTTGCGCAGGCAGGATCCCAGACCCGGCCCTGATTGTAAAATGAGGAGGAGGAGGATGGCTTTGAGCCCATGGTCCTGCACTCATCCTCTGGAAAGGGCTCTTCCCAAGGCAGCCATCCTTTCCTTTTCCCCTTGGAGGGCTCTCTGAGGGTTTGTTCTCCTGCAGAGAACAGGGTGAGGGATGGAGCACAGGGGTCAGGCTGTCCTTTGGCACTGCCACATCCCTGCCCATGGCATTGCCAACACCTTCATTCCGAGCGTGCCGGGGCAGGGCTGCAGCCTTGGGCTCACTGTGGCACAGCTTTCTTGGAAGTGGCTTTGCAACCTGAGTGGGTGACAGAGGAAAGCCAAGGAACCAAGAAAAAGGCCAGCTCATGGAATCATTAAAGTTGGAAAAGRTCTCCAARATCATSGAGTCCAACCTTGARCCCCTTCAAAGGGGTGATGGGCCTTGACTGCATCCTGAAAAAGGATCCAAAAAAACCTGCCAAGCTTGCCTGCCTCCTCTTTCTGAACCAGGATTTTATGGGATTTTGGGKTTTTTTTGGAAAGTCCATCAGTGTAGAGCATCTTGGTGCTGATTCAAGCACAGTCACTGTGCAAAGGGATAAAGCTKTGCAGGGAATTCTGGTGAGGTGTAGCTGGAGTGGGGACACCTCTCCACAGGATCCCCTTGAAGACCTGGGCACATTTCACTGTCAGGGTGGGAGATTTCCCCACGAGGAGCCCACAGGTGTGTTTAATCTCCACAGCAGATTTTGGGGCTGTTGTTTCCATTTCCCATTGAAGCACAGCTCTGCCCATTGTATTTTCAACTTATTTCTGCCCTAGGAAGGCTCCCTGGCACTGCCATCAGCTAATTACAACCATTAATTGTGTCCCACACTTAGAAATTATCTCCTGAACACAAAAAAATGTCCCACACTTAGAAATTATCTCCTGAACACAAATAGGAGGCAGTGAAAAATACAGGCTGCTTTTTCCCCTGTGCACAGGGATTGTGAGACCAAAATTCAACTTGAACAACATGGAAAAAAAAAAAAGAATTGGATGCGCACCTGTGCACAGACAAATGTTTGGGTTAGGTTCCAAACAGAATTTATCTGCCAAAAGGGATAAGAAAAATTGATTGAAACCCTTAATTGCTTTACAAGTTGCCATAATAAATTATGTATTAATGTAAATTATTTCATGGGAAAAGARCGTGGAGGGAACTTGAGCAGAAGGATCATGCATTATGTATAAAAAGGAGCTGTAAAAATATTATAGCAGCACATTTGTGTCGCTGCAGTGAAAGTTGTGTCAGCGTTTCGGTTTTACACCCTTCTCTGTGGTTATGAGTGGTCATTAAAATTTACTCTGTGTCACCAGAGGAGCTCAGCAGTCGTTTGAAAAGCCCGGGGCTGTCTCAGAGCTGCAGAGTGTCCTGTTCCCACAAAACCTGGAGCTCAGTGCTGGAAAACCTGGCTGTGATGCTCTGGGGATGGATCCTGCTCCCTGTGGGGCTGTGCAGAGCTCTCAGGGCTGGAGGACAACACCCACATTCCCAATTTTGGGGTGTGACTCCAGCCCATGAGCATTTCTCACCCTGGACCACTGGGCTCGTTTGATGCGGGGAGGGTTTTGTGAAAGAACAGCTGGATTTTGTTCCGGTGTCAATGTTTATTTTTGCAGTTTTAAGTCAAAATCCAGAAATAAGATGCTATTTCATCTAGGGACACTAGCAGCCAAGCCAGGAGCCCCCTGTGCTACCCTTACACCATGCTCTGGTTGTCCCTTCATTTTCCAATAGGCAAAGGAGAGTTTTCCAGCCAGACAGCTCACTTGCAAACCAAGGGGTTCTTGTGGTAGGTTTTATCCTGGAACAAATTTCTGCCTCAGGGTAAACCAGGCTGAGGTTTGTAATTAAACAAATTAATACATGTTTAGCTGCAGCAGAATTAATGGCTCCAGTGCAATTATTGTTATCAATGTGTGCCGGATGGGAATATTAGTCTTAAAAAACTGAGCAGAAAATCAGCTGCTTTTCTTCAATAAGGTTTTCCAGAGTTGTTTCATTACATTCTTAGCCCTTAGACTACTCCATTTTCAGGTTTTTTTCAGGGCAGCCTGCCTTCTGTTTGCACTGAAAACCCATTTTCTGGGCTATCTGGTATTTTGGGACCGGTCAGTGATAGCTGGGGCTCAAAGGGGCCAGGTTGTGCCAGTTCTTGTGGTACAGGGGAAAAATTAAATAACCCCAAGCTGGGGCTGGGGATAGTGGTGCTTTTACCGTTTTCTTTGCCAGGTTTGGAAGATTTATAGCTGTTTGTGCTGAAGCAGGGGKGAAAGAGGAAGGTGTCCCGTATCCTCCTCACCAAGGCCTTTTGTGCAGTCTCTGGCCAGAGGCTSGTGGCAGCTTGCCATGAAAAATCGCCTTCTATTTCTGTTTCTTTTGTCTGCTGACCTGACCCAAGAAATCTCTCTGCTGGCAGCATAGCACAGAGGAAAAATAATAAAGATCTAAACATAGATGGAATTGTCTAGCGCAGATTTCTCACTTTTCATTGTGTTTATTAAAATGAGGGCAGCAGCCACAGTTGAAAGGCCGTGCGGTTATTGCGGGCAGGGCCAGGCTGTTTGTGGCTGGGGCTGTTATGGCAGCAGCTGGAGGCAGGGAGAAACGGGAAAATGGGCCAAGAGTGGTGAAAAAGGCCCCAAATCTGACCTGCTGGCTTGAAACCTTAGTCAGAAGCGTTCTGCACTGTTAAATCTTCCCCGCCAGGCTGGTACCTGCAGCTGCGGGCTGGGCACGGCTTTCAGTTCATCCTCCAGTTCCCCGAGTGGAAATACCCAAAAAGCCCCCCAAAACATCGCATGGCTTAGATACAATCGTGTGAAACTTGGCAGTGACGCTTCTCCAGCACGGTCTGGGCTCTGTTTGTAGCAGCCAACGACAAAAACAGGCWCTGGGGAGAGGCTGATGACTTTTTTCCACTGCAGCAGCAGCGGGGYTGTCCTGCCATGGTTTTCCTGTTGAAGGTGTGTCTGCAGAGAGCCCCGTCCATGCAGGGCAGCCCAGCCTCCAGGGTGCTTTGCTTTCCTCTCCTATCGTCAGTGGGATGAGTTCATCCTCTTTAATCCTCTCTTCTCATCTGGCTGTTGGT